AGAGAAAAAATTTTTGAATCAGTTCCTGACATAATGATTTTATTTTGAGGGGGGGGAGAGGTTTTTGCTATAGGGTACATGCATTCGCCAGAAAGACAGAGACAGAGAGATAGAAATCAACAAATCATCCCCCAGTGTGGATGGCCACGCCACAACCCCTATTGTCCTTGTATCTTGCAACCTTGCTAATCTCACTTATTCTACAATAGTATTGGTTTTATAAAGTTCTTAAATTTTTAAAAAAAACTTTCAATTTGTTGCAGGGTACATGTGCTCATCAGAGAGACAAAGGGGAGTGGAGAAAGTACCTGCCCCTCTGCCAGTGGGGCATAATCACAGTGCAATCCCTTCTCCTTTATTTCTCCATTCTGTTGGGATTTTTAGTACATACATACTTGCACCCAGCATGTTTTTCAAGCTGCTGGGGCTGGAATTTGAATGGACAGCTGGTCATGTGGGATCCACCTTCCATAACCACTAGGCCTTTCCATGGTTGTAAGTGACCCAGACTGCTCCATCAGTGTCCTTTGTGTTTCCACAGGACACAGTGCGACGGGTGTTTGTCAGCAATGTCAGAGTTCTGCCACTGAACAGGGTGACTACATCTGCTTCCAACTTTGCATAGCTGTAGGCCCTAGCAGAGAGCAGTTAGGCAACATTGACTTCAGGCACTGGATGGAAAGCTTGCTGGGATGTTGGCTTATGCAGGGTTTTCTTTTTAAAAGTGTTTTTCACTTTGCCAGTGGTAGATTTTAAGTTAATCCATCTAAAAGGAGATGCAGGCCAGAGAATATTAGCTCTAATGGGTCAGGCATTATGTTTTAACAAGTGCTCATAAGCAAATTCAGCATTACTTTTCTAAAAGGCAGATTGAAAAATGTATCTCTACTTGGAGGCTGCCTCTCTGGTCATGCTATCTAAGTTGCCTACTGCCTTGCCTTAGGCAGAACCTGTTTCTAAGTCTCCCATAACATGGGAGTGACATATTAGATATTGTTACTAATTTTTAATATAATCAATATAATAATTGCTTCTAGTATACAAGAACCTGAAAGGAAAATAAGAGATTAGGAAAAAGATAGTAAGATCACAAGAAGATACATTGTGAGCTGTTTGATTATAGAAAATAATTGTGGAAAAAATAAGACTAGTAATGAAAGTACAGTTTGAAAAACAAAAATATATGTAGAAAAGTGCTGAAATGACAATAGGAAAATGGAAGTTAGGAAGAGAAACCTGAGCAAAGAGAAAAAATTTTTGAATCAGTTCCTGACATAATGATTTTATTTTGAGGGGGGGGAGAGGTTTTTGCTATAGGGTACATGCATTCGCCAGAAAGACAGAGACAGAGAGATAGAAATCAACAAATCATCCCCCAGTGTGGATGGCCACGCCACAACCCCTTCTCCTCCATTCTCCTCTTAGGATCTTCGGCACACACTCACACACACCCGGTATGAGTTTAAGCCACCAGGTCTGCGACTTGAACTGCGGTCAACTACATGGGAGTTCAGTGACATAACCGTTACGCTAACTGCTGGTCCCATGATTTGTTTTTTATTACATCTAACGCAATTTTTTTTTAAGGGAGGTTTTCCTATAGGGCGTATGTGCGAGACAGCAAGAAATCACCCTCCAGTTTTGATGGCCACACCACAATCCCTTCTCCTCCATTCTCCTCTTGAGATTTTGGACATGTATGCACATAGAACCAGCGTGAGTTTTAAGCTGTCCAGAAGTTGAACCACAGTTGACTACGTGGGAGTCCAGTGACTATTATATCATCTACCAATTCCATTCTTTGTCATTTTTATTCTAAACTTCCATTGCCATGAAAAGCTCACCGAGTACTTTAGTTCACTTATCTCTCCACATAATATATCCATTAAGGATTTTTTTCGTAGTCACGTGAGTACAGAACAGTAGCTTGCTGAGACTTATTTTTTCTTTAGGATATTGATGCCTCAGAGAGATGTCTGTTTCATTCTTTCCTAGTCTAATATTACATATTATTAATGATTTTGTTTGACCAAATGGCCATATATGGAGAGTTCTTTCATAATAATCAAGTTAGAAAGCATTGCCACATGATCCTTCTAAGTACACAGGCCAGATCATTGAGAGCTGTCACATATATGTTGACATGGAGACTGAAAAATTTTATCTGTGTCATTAATATTGTTTCTTCTTCACAGAAGTAACACACACTCATTTTTATTTTTATTTATTTATTTATTTTTCTTCTTGAGTACAGTTTAATTATCACTGCTTAGAGTTGTTCTTATAGGCTAGTATTTACATTGATTTAAAAAAATAAGTCATCATTATGAAAAGGGCACATATTTATTTTTACCAATGAAAATATGTAGATACTGGTCTGTTTTCATTATTCAGCTCAGTTAATAACAAATGCTTGAGAGAACTTAAAACACAATCATCATGGGGACTGCAAGTGACATGGTGGTTAAAGGCGCTGGACTCCCACATGGCCGACCACGGTTCAGGTCTCGGACCTGGTGGCTTGCTTTCTCACTTTCTCTCTCTCTGTGTGTCTCTCTGATCAAACTGGAAAATAATAATGATAATAATAAATAAAGTTAAATAAAATAATTCTTTAAAAAAAAACCACAATCATCATGTGACTGACTTACAAATTTAGAATTATTGAAATCAGAGAGTACTTCTCAATAGTATCTATAAATTTGAATTCTTCACAACTGAGATAATATATAGACCTAATAACCAGAGTCCAAAATAAAATGATCCAAATTACCTATTATTTAAAAAAAATTTTGCCAAAGGCTGCATATGCTTGCTGGAGAGACAGAAAAAGAGAGGGAAAATAAGAAAACACCCCTCTCCCCATGGGGCATGGTAACACCACAATCCCTTCTCTAATCTTTTTTCCCTCTTTTTGGGATTATGGGCACACATGTAGTATGTCTCTCAAGCTGCTGGGTCTGAGGCTTAAATCATGCATTTGACCATGTGGGATCTGGCTACCTTAACCACCAGGTCATGGGCTGGCCCCTTATTTATCATCTTACATGTAAATTTTAAAAAGTTCTTTAAATTTTATTTGAGAGGGGGCCACAGCCCATTCTTACATTATAATTAAGTCACAGGGAACTTCAAAACTTTGAAAAAAAAATTCATCCTTGAGAAATGATAGAAAAATATATCTGAAAAAAACAGTCCTGTACCCTTTTAACAATCTTTACCATGGCATAAACTATTATTAACAGTTAATGATCAAATAAACGTATTCCAGTCTTGGAGAGTTATTGCCACTGATGATCTGATCTTTTTGTAATGAAACTGCAAGTGCAACATTTTCAAAGTCAGATAAATAGAAACTCTGCTTTTATTGTCAGCTCTACCTTTTTTGTCAAGTGCAAGGCTGGCCTGCTATGATAGGAGTATTCCAATAATGAAGGAAGTAATAACTTCTGCTGATATCTCTTCTCCTGAATCTCCATTTCTCCCATGGATCTTCACCCAAATAATAAAAGTAATACAATTGCCACTGAGTTTATCAATGGAACTCTCATCACAGTTCTTACAGATCGAATAAGGTTCATTAGCTGAGATTTAATTCCTGGCTCTTCTCCAAATCCACCAATTCCCTGGTCTGTTCCTCAGCCAATGTTCTTGAGGAAGCTCTCCTTGTGCAGCAAAGCAATGGCATTGACGCAGAGTAGGGCTGCCTGCAGCAGCGAGTACAGGGTGAAGGCCATGGCCTTCCCCGGCCGCCAGACGCTGACCGATCCCTCTCCTCGTTTTTATTTTTTTAAGAGTAATTTTTGCTACAGGGCATGTGTGCTTGCTAGAGACAGAATTCAAGAAATCACCTCCCAGGGGGATGGCCACACTGCAATCCCTTCTCCTCCATTTTCCTCTTGGAATCTTGGGCATGCACACATACGTGCCCAGTGTGTTTTAAGCTGCTGGATTCAGGATTCAAACTGTGGTTGACTACATGGGAATCCATCTTAATAACCACTATGCCATCTGTTGGTTCCTACACTTATTTTTAAAGTTATTAAATGCGGAAACTTCCCATGTGATACACCTCATCTACATACCTCAAGATACCTTAAGATGAACAGGAAAAGACCAGCAGTTGGCATACTGCCTATGTTGCTGGACTCCCATGTAGTTGACTGTGGTTTGAGTCCCGGACCCGGTGGTTTAAACTCACACCGAGTGTGTGTGTGTGCGTGCCCAAGATCCTAAGAGGAGAGCAGAGGAGAACGGATTGCAGCATGACCATCTCCCCTGGGGAGTTATTTCTTGCTTTTTGTCTTTCTGGTGAGCGCATGTGCCTATAGCAAAAACCTCTTAAAAAAAAAAAGATGAACAGGAAATGTACATTGGGGTTTACATAGATTTGTTAATAACTTTTAAATATTTATTTTTCACAATAAATTAACATTACAAAAATATTAATATATTTTATATACTTTTTTGAAATTGTTGATTCATTAGCATTTTTACCATACTTTTTACATAATCGTTTAAAAATAAATTACAGGCATTTAACCTATTTCAGTATCAAACCTCAAAATCTGTTTTGGAAAAGTTTTCCCAGTAATTCTAATAAACATCATTTATTAAATGACATTGATTTAATATATATGCAGAGTGCTGATAGGAAATCATAGGTAAAATAATTGCTGCTAGGAACATAGTTGGTGAAAGAAAACAGCTGCTTGAAGTATTTTGAAGTTCAGCATTTACTGAAGTAGTGGTAAGATTTGAGATGGCAGCCATATAAGATTGTGGGTGAGAATGAGCATTTATGAGGAACAAACAGATGTATTTGACTTGTTACTGCTATATAGAATGAAAAACAGGGATAAGACTGGAAGTGGGTAGATTACTGTTACAGGTTTTAGGAGATAACAGTCTAAATTGACTCACTTCTCCAATTTTAATGAGAACTCTGTTTTTCCTAAATATCCTTGTCAACTAATCTTCCTTGTTGCTCCTTATTTCAGAACTCATCAATACCAGTCAAAACTATTCAAGACAGAAGTTTGATGAACTTAACAAAGGTAGAAAATGGCTCTATGATAATATGCATGAAATAATTTATCCTGAAGGGAAAACTTGTGAATATAATAAAAATGGGAAAGACTTCTGTCTTAATGAAGACCTTGCTCAGCATGAGAGAAATCAACTTCTGAAGCAGCCTTTTAAATACAGTAAATATGAGAAAACTTTCTGTGAAAATTCACTGGTCCTCATACATGAGAGAACTTACATGGGACTGAAAACCTGTGAATATACTGAGTATGGAAAAACCTTTAGTAATATGTCACCTCTCATTGCCCATCAGAGAATACATCTAGGAGAGAATCACTATGAATTTAATAAATGTGGAGAAAGATTTTTTGAGGAGCCCATTCTCTCTGAACATCAGAGTGTTTTCACTTTCAGTCAGAAGTCACATCTCATTCCAGTTCAGAAAACCCATTCAATTGACAATGTAATAGAACATAATGAATGTGGAAACTTATTCAGTGAAAAATTAGTTCTTGCTGCACAAAATGGGAAAACCTTCAACCAGAAGTCAGCAAATACAAGACATCAGCGAACACACACAGAAGAAAAATCTTATGAATGTCAAGAATGTGAGAAAATCTTCTACAAGACTTCAGACCTTACTAAACATCAGAGAATTCACACTGGGGAGAAACCTTATGGATGTAATGAATGTGGGAAATCTTTCAGTGAAAAGTCAACCCTTACTCAGCACTGGAGAACACACACAGGGGAGAAACCATATGAATGCTGTCAATGTGGTAAAGCCTTCTCATTTAAATCAGTTCTCACTGTTCATCAAAAAATTCATACAGGAGAGAAGCCCTATGAATGCTATGAATGTAGGAAAGCCTTTCTCAGAAAATCAGACCTCATTAAACATCAGAGAACTCACACAGGGGAAAAACCTTATGAATGTAGTGAATGTGGAAAGTCCTTCACTGAGAAATCAACCCTCACTAAACATCTAAGAACTCACACAGGTGAGAAGCCCTATGAATGTATTGAATGTGGGAAATTTTTCTGCTATTTCTCAGGTTTTACAGAACATCTAAGAAGACACACAGGGGAGAAACCTTTTGGATGTAATGAATGTGGGAAAACCTTTCGTCAGAAGTCAGCCCTAATTGTTCATCAGAGAACTCACATAAGACAGAAACCCTATGAATGTAATGAATGTGAAAAGTCATTTTGTGTGAAATCAAAACTCATTGCACATCATAGAACACACACAGGAGAGAAACCTTACAGATGTCAAGAATGTGGGAAATCCTTTAGTGAAAAATCAACCCTAACTCAACATTGGAGAACACACACAGGAGAGAAACCATATGAATGCCATCAGTGTGGGAAAGCCTTCTCTATTAAGTCAGTCCTTACTGTACATCAGAAAACACACACAGGGGATAAGCCATATGAGTGCTTTGAATGTAGAAAAGCCTTCCTCAGAAAATCAGATCTCATTAAACATCAGAGAACTCACACAGGGGAAAAACCTTATGAATGTAATGAATGTGGGAAGTCCTTCACTGAGAAATCAACCCTCACTAAACATGTAAGAATTCATACAGGTGAGAAGCCCTATGAATGTATCGAATGTGGGAAACTTTTCTGCTACTACTCAGGTTTTACAGAACATCTAAGAAGACACAAAGGGGAGAAACCTTTTGGATGTAACGAATGTGGGAAAACTTTCTGTCAGAAATCAGCCGTGATAGTTCATCAGAGAATTCATGTAAGACAGAAACCCTATGAATGTTATGTTTGTGGAAAATCATTCTCTGTGAAGTTAAAACTCACTGAACATCAGAGAACACACTTGGAAAGAAATCCTATACATGTAATAAATGAGAGAAATCACTCTAGGTGAAGTAAAAACATAATGGAACAGAGAACCCAAAGGGTAAGAAAAATCTTGTTAATGATCTTGAGAACATCTTTAGTGTAAAGTCAGTTGTCATACTACAGAAGAGAACATACAGATGGGAAGTAAACAATATGAAGACATGGAATGTAGGAAAACTTTCTACTGAAATTTGAATAATACATCAGAAAACTCATAGTGGAGAAAACCTATTGATGAATGAATATAGGGAGTCTTGCCCAAAATCAGACCTCATTAAACAGAAAAATGTGTACAGGGCAGAAACTTAATCATCACTAGGGAGAGAAGACTTCACCCACAAACTAAAATGCACAAACCATAGGAAATTAAAGGAAAGCACTTGATATGAAGCATTTACTCACTTTATTGAGCATGTGCACTAAGAAGTAGCCTCTTCGTGAACATCAAATAGTAGATAACTATAGAAAATACTTCTAACTGTATTCCATGTGTGGAAACTTTTAAGTTAAAAATCTAAATTTAGGGCACCCCATTTTCTGGGACCACTCCCTCTTGGGAATTCTGTTTTGCCTTCTCTCTCCTTCAGTAAACTCCCCTCCTTGTTATACTGTTTTAAAAATTAAATTTATGACAGAGGTGTTGAATCAAGAAAAAAATCTAGTGATTTAAATGTGGAGAAAGTTTTTTCATTTGAAATAGGATCTTGCTTTGCTAAATGCAGTTTGGCCAATTGCTCAGACTTCTATTTCCTGTTTAAGATGTGAAAACATACTAATTTGGAGCCAGTGATTGTAAGCAATTCAAAAGTTTATTGCTGAGGTATATGCAAAATGAAGGAAGACTTTTCACCAAGTAGACCCACCAGAAAAAAAAGGGCTATTTGGTGTTCAGGTAGAGAGAGTGAGAGAGAGAGAAATCCCGATCTTGGGAAGATGTATAGGTCAGGAGACTTTCAGGATTTTGAAAATAATTCTGGGGTATACTAAGTTTGAGTGACCTCTCCTGGAATGGTGAAGCAAAAAAGCAAGGTGGGTTGCTTTGTGTGCTCCCTGTGGGCCATAGGATTGAATGGGTCTGGAGGGCTGGTGGTTTCTGCCACAATGTTCTGCTGTGAGTGACTTACTGTGCCCAGACCTATTTCCATATTTATAGACATGTTGTCTGTGTGATGTAACAATTGAAAAATGTATATATCCATCTTATTTTCCATTGCTTTTGGAAGAGACTAATAATTGTATGATTGTGTAGAGAATTCAAGCAGGAACACAGCATGAAGGCAAAATGTGGTGCATACTTTATATGAGATGTTTTTGTACTATGTACTAAATTTTGTAATTTTGAAATCACTTCAGAATGTAACTGATGAAATCACATTGGTAGCAAAAAATGATGCTATATGATAATAAAATGTTTGACAAAATTGTACACACATTCTTTTAAAAAACAAGGAATGGAAAGAAAGTAAGTTTCATAACTAGCAAAACTAGTAACATAGTCAGTTAATAATAAAATAGCTGTCTGTGATAGAATGAGACAAGAATCACCACTTCTATTCAGCATCACTGAAGGGTCTAGCTAAATCAGCAAGGAAGTAAAATATGGACTGTTACCTGTGAAGACCAAAGTAGAACTAATTATTTGCAGATGATATTGTGTAGATAGACAAAAAAAAATCTATTTAGAAATTATTAGACATAAGTGAATTTTGCAAGGGGGATATTATAGAAAAAAGGTTGTATCTTTATATGTAAAAGACAAAAAGGAATTAAACAGTGATACCAGTAACCACCTGGTATATTAATAGAATAACAAATAAAATTTACCTTTCTGCCTGAAATAACAGGAGATCAAAACAAAACGACAGTGTGAAAACATACTAATTTGGAGCCAGTGATTGTAAGCAATTCAAAAGTTTATTGCTGAGGTATATGCAAAATGAAGGAAGACTTTTCACCAAGTAGACCCACCAGAAAAAAAAGGGCTATTTGGTGTTCAGGTAGAGAGAGTGAGAGAGAGAGAAATCCCGATCTTGGGAAGATGTATAGGTCAGGAGACTTTCAGGATTTTGAAAATAATTCTGGGGTATACTAAGTTTGAGTGACCTCTCCTGGAATGGTGAAGCAAAAAAGCAAGGTGGGTTGCTTTGTGTGCTCCCTGTGGGCCATAGGATTGAATGGGTCTGGAGGGCTGGTGGTTTCTGCCACAATGTTCTGCTGTGAGTGACTTACTGTGCCCAGACCTATTTCCATATTTATAGACATGTTGTCTGTGTGATGTAACAATTGAAAAATGTATATATCCATCTTATTTTCCATTGCTTTTGGAAGAGACTAATAATTGTATGATTGTGTAGAGAATTCAAGCAGGAACACAGCATGAAGGCAAAATGTGGTGCATACTTTATATGAGATGTTTTTGTACTATGTACTAAATTTTGTAATTTTGAAATCACTTCAGAATGTAACTGATGAAATCACATTGGTAGCAAAAAATGATGCTATATGATAATAAAATGTTTGACAAAATTGTACACACATTCTTTTAAAAAACAAGGAATGGAAAGAAAGTAAGTTTCATAACTAGCAAAACTAGTAACATAGTCAGTTAATAATAAAATAGCTGTCTGTGATAGAATGAGACAAGAATCACCACTTCTATTCAGCATCACTGAAGGGTCTAGCTAAATCAGCAAGGAAGTAAAATATGGACTGTTACCTGTGAAGACCAAAGTAGAACTAATTATTTGCAGATGATATTGTGTAGATAGACAAAAAAAAATCTATTTAGAAATTATTAGACATAAGTGAATTTTGCAAGGGGGATATTATAGAAAAAAGGTTGTATCTTTATATGTAAAAGACAAAAAGGAATTAAACAGTGATACCAGTAACCACCTGGTATATTAATAGAATAACAAATAAAATTTACCTTTCTGCCTGAAATAACAGGAGATCAAAACAAAACGACAGAAACCCCACTCCCATCTTTCAACCCCTGGGCGAGGAACATCGAGGGAGGACTGCCCCCCGTCCCCCGTCCCTGCAGCCCCAGGATCCTCAAGCCAGAGACCCGTCTGTCAGCCAGGAACGCCCTCATCCTACAGAAACCCCACTCCCATCTTTTGACCCCTGGGCCAGGAACTTCGAGGGAGGACTGCTCCCCGTAGCTTCAGCCCCAGCATCCCCAAACCAGAGAACCCACTGTCAGCCGCCCTCAGTCCTACAGAAACCCTACTCCCATTTTTCAACCCCTGTGCCAGGAACTTTGAGGGAGAAGTTCCCCCCCATAGCTTCAGCCCCAGGATCCCCAAGCCAGAGACCCCTTTGTCAGCCAGGTACACTTTTTTATTTCCTTCCTTTTTATCTCCTTCTCCTCTTCTTTGATTTGTAAATTTCTCTCTTCTCATTACCACATAGGAACGCCCTCAGTCCAACAGAAACCCCTCTCCCATCTTTCGACCCCTGGGCCAGGAACTTCGAGGGAGGACTGCCCCCCATAGCTTCACCCCAGGATCCCCAAGCCAGAGACCACTCAGTCAGCCAAGAATGCCCTCATTCCTACAGAAACCCCACTCCCATCTTTCGACCCCTGGGCCAGGAACTTTAAGAGAGGACTGCCCCCCATAGCTTTGGTGTCAGGATCTCCAAGCCAGAGACCCCTCTGTCAGCCAGTAAAAGGGAAACACACTTGCTCCTATTCGAGGAAACGTTCTCTTCAAAGGTTTTTCAAAGGGAACACATCTCCCAATGGTTAGAAGAAGAACCTCAGGTCTGAATAAAGCAGGAAATATGTCTCCATCAAAAGAACACAGTAACTCCCTTCCTTTTCTTGAAAAACATAGAGGACGTTACCAAAATGTCCGAAATAGAATTTAGAACATTCATGTTGAACAAATACTATGAACTGGAACAAAAAAGAGACAATGAACTACAGGAGATGAGAAAGTCCTTCCACGATATGAAGGAAGAAATGGACACGCTAAGAAAGAATAAGATGGAACTATTAGAGGTGAAGTCTGTAATACAGGAAATCAAAAATGCTCTTGAAAGTATTAAAAGTCTAGTAGACCATGCTGAAGGTCAAATCTCTGATGTAGAAGATAGAACTTCTGACCTAGAGAAAACCACAAAAAAGATAGAGAAAATAAAAACAACAACAAAAAATCATTAAGATAACATACGAGAAGTGCTAGATTCCATTAGACGTCCTAACATCCAAATAATTGGTATCCCAGCAGATGAAGAAACTAATACGGGCATGGAAAACCTATTCCATGAAATCTTGGAAGAAAATTTCCCAAGTATAGAGAGGCACTCAAGCATCCAGACCCAAGAAATACAAAGGACCCCAAATAGAATCAACCCAAGAATATCTTCCCCAAGACATATCATACCCAGACTGGCAAAGACCACAGATAAAGATAAGATACTAAAACTGGCAAGAGAGAAACAACAAGTGACTTACAAAGGTGACCCCATCAGGCTAACTCCGGACTTCTCAACGGAAACAATGCAAGCAAGAAAAGAATGGGAAGATGTATTGAAAGTGTTAAGAAAGAAACAATTTCAACCAAGATTATTATATCCTGCAAGATTATCCTTCATATGGGAAAAAAAGATGAAAATCTCAAACAAAACCTGAAAGAATTTACCAGCACCAGGCCAGCTCTCCAAGAAACCCTGAAGAAAGTACTGTTCCAGGAAAACTAAAGAAATAACAGCCAGGAACAAAGGAGTAAAAAGGCAACTAAGACAATGGCCAATTTAAACGTCGGGTCAAATCCGTTAACATGAATAATAACATTGAATGTTAATGGA